GATTCAATTATGACAACTCTATATATCGCATTACGTCACATATCATTACCCATATACATTAATTGCTTAACTGTTCTTTCAGGTGGTATGACTACTAATTAAGTAATTTTCACCAATTTGGGAATGACAGCCCACAGAGATGAAAATTTTGAAACTAAAACTGAAGTTAAATGACCAGATTGAAATTGAATGAAGTTTAGTGTTCAAATTAAAACAAATTAAATTCATTGACTCAATTGAAGTTTTGCTAAATTTTAAGTGACTGTAGGTGAAATATTCATGAAGAATTTGTTTATTCCCCATTTGGCCCCAATTTTGGGGAAATAAAAATAGGTGAAATAGTGGTTTTTTATTTTTTTAAATGAGTTGTTGAAAAAGAAGGAAAAATTTTCGATTTATATATAATATTATTTTATAGAAGATTTTATGATTGAAAATAATAGAGAAAAATGAAATGTAATAGAATTGAAATTAATTGGGGCCAAACGGTGGCTTAGGGACCAAGTTGGAGAGACAAAATAGAAAACAACCTCAAATTTCATTCTTTTGACTGATATTTCAAAAATGTCCTTTTCACCTACCATCTTTCGCACGATTGTTTTTATCCTCTCTCTACTTTATTCCCGCCCTCCATTTCCTTCCTATTCCATCCCACTTAAGGTCAAGAAGGAGAAAGAGAGGAGGAACGCAACCAGATCTAGACCAAGAGTGAGAAAGAAGATGAAACAAGACCGATATTGACTATATTTAACAAAATTAGATATTTTAGATATGGTGAACTTGTTCTGTTGAAGTAGTCATTTTTCAATCTTGGCTGTTACAAAGATGGCTATTTTCAATAATTCACCAATTTGGACATGAAATGATGGAGTCTGCAATTGTCAGTTGGCATTGGACAAAAAAATGTTGAAAAGTATTAAGTGTGTATTCGAACTACATTATTTTGAATGAATGTATTTTAAAATAGTAGATTGATGTAAAATATGTGGTTAAAAAATAAGAAAAAATTTTGAATTTGCTTATAATATTATTTTATTAAAGAATATGAAATTGAAATGATATCAAATCACTATTAAAAAATGTATTTTTTTGAAAAGAATGTGGCTCTCTAATAAATAATAAAAGCCATAAGCTAGCAAACAGAAAATTACGGGACAAGGAAGGACGGACGGACGGCCGGATGGATTTGCTCAGTCAAAGTACTGCCCCACCTCTTCGTCACATCCCAACATTTACAATGAAGCAACAAATTAATTAATTTTCTTTGAAATTCGTAAGGAGATCGTTAGTATTTATTATTATTATTTTTTAAAATATTTTGTTAATTATTAGCGACGATACACGTTACGAATGCTTACAAATCACAATTCGTGACAATGGAAGTTACACGAGTTCTGACATGACATTAAGAAAAGTAAACTGAACTTTAAATTATGCTTAGCCCCCTTTTGGCCTTCAATTCTCATTAAATTTCTTTCCATATTATTCCATTTTTCTCTCTTTTATTTTCAATCACACAATTTTCCATAAAATAGTATTACACATAAATTAAAAAAAAATTCTTCTTTTTCAACCATTCATTTTGCAAAAAACATATTATTCCAGCCATTTTTATTTTCCAAAAATAGGGGTCAAACAAGGACTTAATTGAATGAGCACATGAGAGGATAGTAGGAATAATTAGTGACAAGTTTCCGTTTTATTTATTTATTTAATTTTTGTGGAACTACCAATGAAAATGCAACAGGTATGCATCTGTTTTAATCCTTGTTATTGAACTTGTTTGTATGGCAAAACTGAGGATACTAAGCCTAACCAATAGAGTTGAATAGCTAGAGTCATCGTCCCCTGCCCATTTCAAATTAGATAAAGCTAAAGGTACATAATTTCGTATGCCGTAGGGTGTATACCCTCTCATATGAGAGTGGAACTCACGTGAATAAATAAGAACATATTCGAGTAGATCCCACCATGTGAGTGTGAAAGGATGTACACCCTTTGGTACACTATATTATGTACCTCTAACAAAACTCTTTTAAAATTGCATTGGTAAGAACGTCTTCAAGACACTCTATTTTAAAGAGCACATTTTACAATTTAATGAGTATCTATAAATTTAAAGAGAAAAAATTCGAATACTTAAATTAACTTTTTATATTTAACACTTAATTTTATTACTCCCAAAAGAATGTTTACTACCCTCCCCCCACCCCCCGCCCCATTTTTATTATTTTAACTAACTTTCCTCCAAATTATTATATTATTTTCCTTTACCGAAAATTAAAATATTTTGATGCATTTAGTTATAGAGCATGTGTGTGTATTTTAAAATGTTAATCAAAAGAGTTTCTTTAAGCATAATTTTAAGGATAACTATTTAAAATAAAAGGCATCTTATATTTAAAGAGCTTCTTTGAGGTGTTATAAGCAGTGTGTTATACGAAATGTATAGATAAAAATTGTAGGCAATATGGAATGTGCAGGTAAATATGATGTTGAGCATTGATCTACTTACATATCATATCGATCTTGAGTAAATTGCAACAATATATATAAATATTCAACTGAATTCCGACCTGCCATTGGTTTTGTTGAAACTGAGGAGCAAAGAACCGCACACACTACTTTTTACAGAGACATAATCCACTAATGGGAATGATATACGACAAGTACTCGCGAATTTCCTCGTTTCTCCTAGCATCTAGCATATCGAAACACAATGTAAGGAATAATTGATACATTTCGACCAATAGACTAAGTCAAAGCAAAAAACTGTAGAAGTTAAAACTTTTTGACTTAAAAGTACCTTACTCAAGCTCTTCCATCCCATTCTTCATAAAACTCTTCAAGAAACTCTACCATGAATTTGTGCCTTTTTTCCGCCCTTCTCTGACCAGCCTGACATTACAAATTCAGCATGTTTGGCTAAGCTTCAAAATGATAAATATTTTATGCTAATAATCAGAAGGAAAAAGGTTCTTTTGAAAAAATTCAAACATGTTAAAATTTGGAAAGATGGGATTCACTGGAAATTTGAAAAAGCAATGCTGCCTATATGCACATGGGATGATTGCAGCGGTTCCAAATCTATCACATTTTAGTAGACTTTCTTTTAACTTTCACTTTGTACCACCCACAATCTCAAATCGTTCAAAAATTAACAACTAGGATCCAAATGGATGGTTTCTATTAGTTTGACCGTTAGTTGACCTAATAAATTGACTTTGACCAATTTGGTAAAATGATAATTTTGAATTAAAATAAAAAAAAGCAAAAACAAAACAAAAATCAAAACCCTGTTCATCTTCTCCTTCTCCTTCCCACACCACCACTTCCGCCGCTCTC